TACGGAAAATTGTATAACTTGCGCAACTTCAATAGAATAGTTGAATTTTAAACATTATGATTTTTACATATAATTTCCAAATTTTCCTTTTAATATAATAAATAATTAATAAAAAAAAATTATTAATTAAATAATTAATAAAAAAAACTTCTTTAGAATAAATTTTATATTATAATTTAAAGATCACTTACCCTTAAGCAATTAGGCGGAATCCTGTAACCTGTCTCTGCAAGCGCAATTAATTCCAATAAGGTAGACACTCTGTTACCACTAACTTTATGAAAGTAAACTTTGTTTTGTTGTGGTGCCATTTTGTTTAAATGAGGACACGTGTTCCTACATGTCATAACAATTGGTCGTTTGGTGTTCGATGCTAATTGATATGCGGCAGAAACAAATCCTTCATCCTCTTCAAAAACAAGATCAATATCTTCCAAAAGAATTAATGAATTTTGCGATATCTTTGAGGTTTCGTCTTCATTTGTGATTCGTTCGAATAGAGATTTATGTTTACTTTTTTTAATTCTATGCGACTTTGTGGCTTCCTCTAATTCTTTTAAGATTCTCTTTCCAGTCCGTTTGGAAGATGCATTTACTTCAATTACGCTATAAAAGTAAAACTTCAATTTACTTTGAATAAGCTAACGTGTAAAAACGAGACTTTGAATAAGAAATAACGTGTCTGAATTTATTTCAATATAATTTAAAGATTATTTTGTATATATAATATTTTCTTTGAGTCATGATTACCAACCTGTAGCCAAGTTCCTCCGCTATCGCATATACGCTTGCGCTTTTTCCACTGCCATGTGGCCCTAATAAGACAGCAATCTGATTATTTTCAATGTTGAACGAGGAACTGCAATCTGAGGAATAAAACTCATCACCACTACTGTCATCGTTCTCTTTTGTTAAAGATGTTCTCCAGCCACTCAACCAATCTTTTAGCTTACTCGCACTTTCTTCATTTCCAACTATCTCTTGCGCGCTCATCGGTTTATATTTGTATGTCCATGCGCAATTGTGCGATTGCTTTTCCTCGGTTTCAACATTCTTTGTTAACATTCTCTTTCGTTCATGCGCTCGCGTTTTTTTACCTTCTGGAGATGGCGATTTCTTCTCCAAATCCCCCTTAATTGTTGATATAGTCTCCCACATTCTTCGAACATCTGGATAAAGTTTCTCAATTTCTAATAACACTTGCTCCACATTTTCTTTCACAGGTCCTTTAATAGTTTTAATCATTTTTGATGTTTCCCTACAATTAGTAATATATTTATAATTACTAATATCTATCGAAGGCAAATATTGTTTCTTGATTTTCATTGAAAATTTGTGTTCTATTTCAGATCTGATCGAGTCTGATTCATCTTCTAATTGTGTAATATGACTGATAGTAGGAAATGGTAATATAGGTATGCCGTTATTTACTTTATGGTCTGTATTTTTGTTTTCTACATCGATTATATCCGATTGTAGGAATAAACGTCTTGCTGCTGTGACTGTTGGATCTGTTTTATGTCGTTTAATGAATAAAGGTGCCAGTTTTTCATTCGGTTTTCTTTTCAGAATATTCTTATTGCTAATCTTGCATTCGGAATTATCAACTATTTCACTCATTTCATTAATCTTCTGTTCTTTTTTATTAACTCTGCTTGATTTTTTAAAATCAGTATTTCCATTACAAGCATCTTTGACAATATTTGAAATGTTGCTATCTTTTACTATTAATTCTTTTCTTTCCTTGTTTTGCTCTTTCATTTTAAGATATTGATTATGATTCTTCGTATAGACTTCATTATTATCTATATTTACAGACTTTCCAGATTTACTCGAAGCACTAAACTTTGATTTGCTTCTTGGTGAAAACAATTCGTCATCGGTATCTGCAAGTAAATTATAAATGTTAATTTTAGTGTTATTAAAGCTAGATACTCGTTTGAAAGAGTATTAAAATCAGCGATCAAAGTGTGAAAAAACAATCATTGCCATCAACCAATAAATATTGGGAGACTCAATTATGTTTTACATCATATATA